ACCTTATTTTGTTCGTTTAAAATGTATTAATCATGTACACCAATGTCCTATATAAATATGAAATTTTAGTTAAGAACAAAGACATTTTCAAATTACATTATTGTTAACTGTTTTTATTTGCTTCTCGACTACTGTGCATTCATCATAAAAAATATGTCAATTAATAAGTTTGATTATATATACAGAAAATTGTTGCTTACTAAATACTTTGTGAATGGTTGGGGTGATCCTGAAAAACTTAAAAGGTGAGTATCTTAGAAAACAAAATACTGTTTACATTTCAAGATTTTTACTGAGAAAATAATGTAGGTACATATGAGTACTGTCACTGTGGCTATCTTATAAGATATTATTTTACATTAATATCAATTAAAATTTTAATTATATACATTTTTTTGGGGGGAAAWATTAATTTATAATCTTTATATTTCTAATTTGTCTTTGAAAATTATTTTATTTTTGGAGTATGGGAGGTGTGCATCTTAAGAGTCACCCCCGCCACTTACTACCTTGAATGACTGTTATTATTGCTGATCAATTCTTATTTAATTTGTTTACTTAAGTAGTTGCTGTTAATTACCAAGTAATAATAATTAATGTGCCATATAATTTTTGTAGGTATATATTTAATTTTGTGCATTACTATTTTAGTTTGTTTCAGTTTAGAAATCATATAATAGATCGAGACTCCTGTTTCAAACTTGTAGCATCTGATTATCCTGTCAAAATTGTTAAAGTAAATAATTAAACACATTAACTAATTCTTAAATAATATGTATTACAGAAAATTATAATTATTTCAGAAAAAGGAAGATTCTGATTCAATAACATTAGAAGGAGTATTTCAATCACCTTTTTCTTATTATCTTCCAGATATAGTGCCAAAAGAGAGTCACCTTGCTCATTTCCAAGTTTTATTACCAAAAAAATGGCCTTCAAAAAATATAAAACCTATGTGTGTACACATGGCTGGCACAGGAGATCAAGTAATTGCTTTAATTTTTATTATTAAAAAAATAATTTGAATAACAGGTTGTCAGRTTACTTAATTAATCATTTGAAGTATACCTAGTAGGTATATTAATAATAATAATAAATTTAATATTAAAAAAAAAATTTATGTATTTCAGAATTATTGGAGAAGAAGAGCTTTGTTAGCAAAACCTCTTTTAAAAGAAGCAGCAATTGGATCAATAATATTAGAAAATCCTTTCTATGGAAAAAGAAAACCAAGTAATCAAGTGTTAGTATGCCATTCTATTCATAAGTATAGTTATGTATTCCAATAGTTATATTTATATACATGGTTGGGATTTTATAGCATTTGCATATTTCTTATGAGATGCTTAAAAAGTAGCAGAGTAAGCTAAAAATGTGTTTCGTGATACAGAGAACTCAMATTAAAAATTTTATTTTGCTTTTTTTTGCATATTTTCCTATTTTTAGTTTTTAGTGCTTTTTTTTGACTTTTTGAGACTTTTTAGCATTTTCACATGTTTTTGAATCAAAATCGGTCATATTTTATGAAATTATATTTTAGTAAACGTGTTTTAAAATTTTTTT